AACTAACCAACAAGCGAAAAAACACATATCTTACGTTCTCATCTTGATGACATTGCAACAATTTCACAGATTACATTTACCTTTATAAATTACACCGATAACAAAATACTTGACAATATTGATAGGGAGCAAATATTGAAACAAGAAAATGCTAAAAAGATCACAGATATTGAAATTGCGTAAGTTGATTGCTATTTTCGATATTTTTGACTGACGATATAATTTAAGAAATTCCTGGGTATTAAAACTTGAATATTTTTACATAAATGCTTTATCAGTCGCCACTGTATATAGTATACTTAGCTAAAGAGGTAACACTATCTATAGAGGTTAATTGATTTCATCTCATGATCTAGACAGTTTTCAGTTTATTTCATTAAATAACCATCACATTATTAAGGTACCGCAGTGAGATAGCTCAGTCTAGAATCACTGGTACAATGTAAGGGGATTTCCGCTTCAGTTAAAGGTTCTATATAGCTTATTTCATCTTGATCTGTAGAACGCATTTTGTCATTTTCACATAGATTAATGTCATAACATGAATAATTTTTAATTGTATTTTCCGGTATTTCTTCATAAATCGTGTCCGTATTTTTGGGCTGTGCAATTTGTTGTTCCGGTTGCGGAAATTGTTTATTAAAGTCTTGTAGCTCTAAATTTGTTCTGGGTCTTCCTAGAATTCTGCTGCAATTATTAGTCTTCCTTATAAAAAATACTGATACAGAAATAGAAACTACGAGAATCCCAACAGAAATTAAAACTATGGACAGCGACAATTCATTAGATATGTAAATATCACTCTCGGGAATTGTTGAAATCGAATGCATTTCGGCTTTTGATGTTATGTAGGTTACATGTAGCATTGTCGTTTTTTCTGGTCTTGGTTGCGATGCTTTCTTTTCAGAAAAATTACGTATGATATTTGGCCCAAATATGGTAGTTGTTGTCTTTATCTCTTGTTCTGGAAAATAGATAGGAAATGCCATAATCTTTATAAATGTCTTATTTTAAAATAGCACATTTATTACATATGTTCAGTCAAAATATGCAATTCGAATGAAATTAACTGTACCTTTTTTACCTTTACAACCAGAGGCATAGTGACAATCTTCCACGGAACATAGACAATTTAATTGACAGTTTTCACCATAATTTGGATATAAACACTTTAATGAGCAAGCAATTCCTGTAAACCCCAGGGTACACTCTATATAAAAATATAATACAGACAATTGATCATCGATGAAAGCATTATTTTGTCAAATTCACATCTTATTTTGATTAGAATTAAACTTTTAATTGAAATGTCTTCATAAAATCATTCCTAGTAGAAAACGGGAAAAAACTTTATTACGAGAAATTGCATAGATCTAAATTTACTTGAAACATCAATACATAAAAAAGGAACTTAAAAAAACCACTATACATACTTATGCATTCTCCGGTATTTGTATTCCACATAAAGCCATTGCAACATGCTGGGCCATTTGGTCTAAAGTATATAAATTCATTAAAAAACATATTTTTTAAAATAATCCATTCATTATATTTTGTGACAAAATTTTTAAAAAACATTTTAAAAACATACAATTTTACCCTTCATCTTCTGAAAACAAAACTTTATAGAATTCATGTTTTACCTACCCTTCGCAAAATGTGTCTGAGGTGGACAGCCAGCAACATAGGTTAACACAGAAAATTATAAGTAATATACAGCACATTTTACATGTTTATAAATTAGCGATGCAAACGCACACGATAGCAATTGATAAATTATCTATTTCCTTTTTGATGCAACAATTAAGCATAATGTATATGGTTACGTTAACAGCGTAAAGGATTTATGTTATTTTATATTTAGCATATTAAGAAGAGTTTGGATCAAGAGAGAATTTTTCTAACATATGGGGATGAACAAATTTGTATACTTATATATCTACATCTTAAATGAAAAAACAAGTCATAAGTCAGTGTAATTTTTGGCATGCTCAAGAACCACGTGCGCTGTGTCAATTTTAATCAAAATAGTCACAAAGCATCCTTGGGTAAAGTGAATTTAAGTTTATCAAATGAAGGGCGAGACTCTCTTCCAAGGGGAGATAATTATGAATTATTGAAAAATTAATATAATTCAAAAAAATCCTTCTCAATAACCACTGAACCAGGAAAATTGAAATTCATGTGGAAGCATCCTCAGATAGTGTATCTCTAAGTTTATTCAAATAATGACCCCGGAGGGTCGTGCGGGGCCACAATGGACGGTTAAAACTTTACATAAAAATGTAGAAAATCGGTAAAATTATTTTTCTCAAGAACAACAAAGCCATGATTTGTATTGTATATATTGAAGCATCTGCAGGTGGTGTGGATTCAAGATTGTTCAAATCATGACCCCAAAATGGTAGGGTGGGTCCAGAATGGTTGCAACTATACATATGAAAATAAAGGAAAAATCTTCTAAAATGTTCTTGTCAGGAATTAGCCAAGCCACGATTAGTCACATTTTTATGGAAGCATCTGCAGGCGTTGTTCATTTAAGTTCAATTAAATCATGACCTCCGGGGGTAGGATTGGACCATAGTGGACAATTAAAATTCTACATAAGAATATTATTAACCAACTTTTATTCGTGTACGGGAAATGTTTGCAAGTTTCGCTATCTTCTTCAATTTTCGAATATTTATTGAAGCGAACCAATTTCTTTGTTTTTGTGAAGAATGTCTCCTCTGACACGATTATTAATAGTCACGTATTGATTTAAAACTGAGGAATCGCTAAAAAAGATGACGCGAATAATAGTTGGTTTATAGTATACTGTAAACCAACATTTATTCGCGACGACTTTATTTCGCGATTTACCGGGAGTAAATTAGTTCACGACGAATAATTTTCGCGATCAAACCGTTTTTGGAACTGTTTTACACAGAAAAAGAGATTTTAAGGACCCTTTCGCGGCGAGAAATATTCGCGATGAAGAGGCTCTCGCGAACCACGCGAAAATATCTCGCACGTGAATAAAAGTTGGTTTACAGTATGGGGAAAATCTTCCCCTTGTGGTGTAGATTAAATTTTCTTCAAATTATTAGTAGGACCACAATGAAAGTTCAAACTTATAGGAAAAAGTCAGTCAAAAATATGTACGTAGTTAGTGTAGACTCAGTTTTGTTCAAATCATTCTCCCTCTTCCATTAAGGATAGGTGGGGTTCCTTTCACATGCATTTTACCTTTCTAAAACTAAACTGATACTTGGGTTTTTTCCTAGCCAGGGCCCCTAGGCCTATTGTTTTAATCTCATATCATCTTAGTCATGCAACAATAGTCCATGCTTTCAAGAGGTTGTGATAATTCATTCGTATTTCTGTTTCAAATTTTCAATACACGTAGATATTATCTAAAAAATGTGAATAAAATCAGTGCATTTGTTTTGAGATCTATCATCAGACCATTCAACAGAGAGGTAGAAATGGACTGAGATTTTATTGACATAAATGATAAATGAGGCAATTTAACATGCTTTAAACTTATATATATATGCAGCTTAACGCACTTTCTAAGCTCACATGGTTTTTCACACAAAGTAAGGTCACATTCTTTTTGCAATAAAATAAAAATTATCGACCTTTAATATAATTGTTATATATATATATATATATATATATTATTATGTATATGCACTATCTTATGTTAAAGTTACATATCCTTTAAATTCATAATCGTAAAGTTTTCAAGTCGATGATTTATATGGATCATCAATAAATGATATGATATTGCATTTGTATTATTTCACCATAGGTATTTACATTTTAAAATCATCCTATTTTTTCTAATACTATTTGGATGAAATTTTCAAATTGTCATCTTAAAAATGAGTATTTTCAAAGAACTTTGCAGATTTTCCATATCATGTAGCGCCGAAAAATGACAATGCTGCATAAGAAGGATAACGAACAGTATTCAATCTCAAAGTTCATAAAACAATACAAAATAGGAGCTGAGAAAAAAACGGACCTCCAAAACATCAGAGGTGGGATCAGGTGCCATGGAGGAGTGAGCATCCCCTGCCGACCGGTCAAACCCGCCGTGTCCTCCTTATCATGATCGGGAAAAAAAGGAAAAATCCATCGTCAATTCAATTCAGTGTATAAATAATGGACTATAAAGAAATCAAGTCAAACGACAGCATAAAAGTGTATTGTTAACCTTTATAATTTGTAAATTGTAACAATTGAAAAGAAAATTGTTTTAACATTCACGTTCTGAAACTTTAGAATTGTACGGTCGGATGTATCTTTTGTGATGCTAGATTCAGAAAGTAATTATAAAAAACGCCAGCTTTTTAACATGAAAAGCAGTCGAACAAATGAGAAATTCTATTATCATCTTTTGATAAATTCATTAATAATCATGTGTAAATTATGTCTTCAGTTACTTAAATGAACTAAAAAGTAAGTAAAAAATCACTTTTAGAATATATTTTGTTACCTTGTTACACAATTTCGCACAATAACAATATGACCTTAATTTGTGTGAAAAACCATGTGAGCAAGTGCGTTGAGCAGTATTTATATATATATAGCTTCCTCTCAACCATTCAACTGTTGTTATATATGCGCTGCATAACTTGCAAACATTCTGAAACACGAAATATAACTTTAAAAGGTTATAAAATAAGGCGTAGTTATAACATTTTTCTTGATTTTTTTCTCTCGCAATTGCCTTTACATATGATAAATCATTATTATAATGTTGATTGGTTCATATCTTTATTATTCAACGATTAAATGAACTTGAAAAGGGTTATCTTGTCATCTTTTTCATGAATGAACACGTCACTGGTATTTCCGTCTACCTGTTATTTATAACGACACAAAGTAAACACAATATCAGTGCACTCCCAAGATTAAACGTTTACAGGTTTAAAGGAAGGCACTTGAAATATCAGATGCGATGTAAGGTAATTCAACGCTATTTTTTTCTGTTTGTTCCCTCTGTATGATAGACGCTTACACATATTTTTTTTTAACTTTAAAAAAATTAACCTGCAATTGTGTTCGTAGGATATCAGCCTTTATGTGCATCCATTGATTGTTTTATATATGGTAAGGTTTTACACATATATTTTCTGAATATTTATCATTGCATTTTTTTCTTTTATGAATCTTACAACAAAGAGTGAAGTTGTGCTGATTGTTTTTATTTATCCGTTAAAACATAATTCGCACGTGTTTAGGTGAAGGCAAATTTAAGCCATTGGCGACAGAAGCAATTTGAAGGCAGGGGAGAGGGATAAGTCTAAGAGAAAGAAAATCACACCTTCAAAATAAAACTTGACAAGCAAAAAATAAAAAAAGAAAACCTTACTATGGTTTATATTCCGCTTTTAATTATACACTTCTCCATTAATTAAAGTTATCAGGATGTCACTAACTTTAACTTACTGTAAAAAAATATATATATGATGTGATGCGCCAGCCTGCTTACAAAGGCGTCGGAATCGGGTAATCCCCCCCGAGACATAATATAGGCATTGAACGTTGGGGCATGGGTTTGGTTCCCCTCCCCCCATGGAAGAGAGCCTGGCCCTTCATATGATAAACTTATAATCGTCCATACCAGCATCCACCCTTCCAAAAATAGGGGGAGTCTGGGAAAAATGTTGTAAATGAATAAATTGTCCTTGACTGAAAATGAAATGAATAATCTGTTCCTGTCCCTGACCACCCCACCACTCCCCGACATAGAGTTGTCGACTTTGATGTTTTCTTTTTTTAAATTTTATAGCAAAAGATGATCTATTCTACATCTTATAAGAAATAAATAACTTGTTCTTCATTGACATGAAAATAAATAATCTGACTAGTAGAAATGAGCCAGCCCAACTCCTTCCCCACCCTATCAGAATGAATGGTCGACCTCCTCTAAGACGTGTATATCTTTTTAGCCTTTTTATTTTATTGAGGAATATAAGATTTTCCTGTTTGTTTACATGCTTTATAAGCACGCAATGAATAATAAACATTTTTCAAACAAACAAATTTCTTTAGGTCTTTTAGTTCTGTTCTACTGTGAAAAAAAAACGAATGGCATACTGAGAGCATTTGTGTATTTATCCTATGTAAATATTGATTAAAGTGGAATAAAAGGTCAATAAGTATTACTCACTAAAGATTTCTGTTGCTTTTTTTTAGGATGTTTTTCCTCAAGACTAAGTTAGAAATGAAAAATGTTTCAGTTTCGAGGTTCAGGTGTCTTCTTATGGATACTTTATACGTTTATTTCCAAGGTAATGTTGGATCTGGAAGCATGATTTTGCACATGATCGCGTCCCGTGGGTGTAAACGATCATTTTGTTTTCTTTTCAAATAATCAATGTATTTCAGATCATATATTTTCAAGTTATTGATCCCTTTTACGATTTCCTTTTATAAAGGTTTGTAATTCCTCTGCCTTGAAATGCTACGCTTCCCAGCCGACTGGAACTGAAGTCCAGAAATGCCCTTTGACTCCGAAAGAACTTGAAGAAGCTGCACAGCGGAAAAACTGTGAGATTATTGCGCTTTCTCAAAATTGCACGAAGCCTGAAAATTTTAAGTATCACTGTGTACTCAGTATGAACAGGCAATCTCTGATGGAAGTTTGTGCACCATACATCTTTTCCCAAGGTAAATTAAACAGTAGTCATATTTTCTTATGTAAATTAAAGTAAATGTTAAATGTTGAGAAAAAAAAAAAACGGAAAAACGCTTTATACCTTAAGAGCTCTCATTTAAAATCTTCAGAAGATCTAAACAATCAATATATATACAACAATACAATAGCTTAAGTGATTAAGTAAGTGGAACAGTGATCCTTTTGTTAAGCTTTATAAGATATTAAATCTAAGCTTAAGGGCGTTGTTAGGGATAGTATGAATACCATTTCCTCTTTTTATTTTCAGGACATTGTGTTGGCTTTGACACGCTAGGACTACTAATTCAGCAGATATTTGATAGTTCTTGTACTAAATTCCCAGACCCTTGTCCTATTAGATTTGCTTCTTGGAACTCATCAGCTTGTATGTTGCAATTATTATATAAAAACAGTTTAGTCAGTTTTCCTACCCTTATGTACATTTATTTAAAAAACCATGAAATACAACGAGAAAACGAACAGTATTCAAGCTCTAAATTTCATTAAACAATACAAAATTGGAACGGATCAAACTTGGAGCTCGGAAAATTAGAGATGGGATAAGGTGTAATGTGCAATTAAATTAAGGAGTAATTTATTATGCTAAGTTGCATTCCTATGAAGCAAAATTTGTCAAAAATCTAATGCGCGTAAAGAAGGAAACATCTGCTGTGGCCTTTAACTCGACATTTAGATATATCGACGGTGTACTGTCAATTAAGAATGGCTATTTTCATTCTGATGTTGATACGATAAATCCCGGTTAGCTTAAAATAAAAGATACAACAAGGTCTAACGCATCTGTCTCATATTATTCTATTTCAAAAAGATGATAAGGATAATCTAACAACCAAGATCGATGATAAACGTGGTGATATTTTATCTGTCTTTTACTTATGCAGCAATACACTTTATTTGTACTTAAAAAGCGGGCTTCGTATAACAGCTTTGGCCAGACAGCAATGTGCTTATTCATTATTAAAATGATATGATGTAATGTTTTTTTTTATTTAGTTGTTTCGATCTGCCATGTTACATTTCTTATCAGGCCTTGAACACCGAGCCCGATTTATTCATCTATTTCAGTAGGAAATATGACTATATAATGATAAATGATGCATTTTTAATTGATTTTTTTTTATTTCACGTTTGAGCATCAATTTTAATTTAAAATGGGTAATTGGCACTTGTTACTTGGACCATTCAGTTCAACTGTGTCGACCAGAATGCTCTGTAGGTGAACCCCGACAATACATTGCAAGAGCGGTATTAGTAACACAATGCCACTCGAATACAATTACACAAGTAAGGTAGATCCTCCTTGACTAGAAAATGTGTGTAAATTGTTTTTTTAATCACTAGTAAACGGTAATTAAATGTTCAACACCCAAACTACGACCTCACAATAAATACCTGACGACTATTTTCAGCAAGGTTAACATTCTACTTGAATATCAATACTTTAATACGATGATTAAAAATTGATTAGAGTAAGATAATAAAATTTTTAGAAACACATAGATAACAATAATTTTATAACAACTAATAGCTTTTCAAAAAGCTTGCCTGACTAATTCAATCAATATCTAAAGAACATATAATCTTGATAAGTTGTATATATAAACGTTTACATTGGGGTGAGGGGTAATTATTTCATTAGAGTAAATTATGAAGACGTCGAACAAAACATCATGCATTAATTTTAAGTTGATTCCTACTTATGAAAGCAATGGAGAGCCTCGTTTTTAAAAGGGGGGGGGGCAGCTAGAGAATTTTTTTTCACTCATCTGCATAAAAAAGGAATATGCCCAAAGTTGAAAATCCTATTTCGGGGGGGGGGGGGGGGGGGGGGTAAGGGGTAGTGAGCAACTTTTTTTCAGTGTCAAGTTCTTTCTTAACCAGTTTTTTTTAGCATTAAATACTGCATTTCCCTTTAATAAATGTCCTGTTATATACAGGGGGATCCAACCTTTCAATTAACATTGAAACTATATATAGTAAAAGGAAGGTTGGGAAAAAAGGGAGGAGACAGCCCCCCCCCCCCCCCCCCCCAGTTGCTACGTGTCTGATTGAAAAGGAACAGTGAGATTTTATTTAAAAGGTATATTTTGTATGTGTTAAAAATTGGTTTTGAAACTTTTGATCTGTTTTTCGTTTGTTGTATAAGGACGCCTGTGGAGTGTTACAAATACTTGGAACTCAGGACCAATGAGCAGTTTCATGTAATCTTTTTCGTGCTAACACCTACTGCGACTCGGGACTTGGTTTAAAACGGTCTCATCCTAAGGACCGATCTCCATGTCCTGCAGTGGATTCGAACACGCGACGTTAAGCTCAGCTCCTCATTCCACAACTCTATAAATGGTTTTAGAAGATGTATAATTAAATAAGGGAAATGAACAAATGAATATTTTAAAATTAAAATTTAGAATTAGATTCAACTGCATAGAGTACCAGGATTGGCAGGAAGACAGCTGGGAATATGATAACTACAAGAAATAAATGAATCGTTATGATTATTTAACATGCAGAATATGTTTTAGTACTAGATTGTTGGGTATGCCAGAGCATCAACGATTGTAGGAAACAGCCCGTTATGCATAAATGACCCAACAAACTTGACGGCGATTCCTTATATTCCTCAATCCTGGAATAGGAGGGACACTTTTCCTAAGTCTATTTTCTGTGTTTCATAGGAGAAAGAATTTTATATCTGAAAACTGGGGGGGGGGGGGAGCTGCAAGTCCGGGCGAGATATGATCATTAATATTATGTATATTTGGCCATTTTACTCTTAAGAACTCTTTTTCCGTTTCGTTTTTACACTTTAATTGAAGTAACTTCTCTAACTTCTTTTCCCCCAAAGTTCGAAATTCCGATAAAAAGAACAGACTTTAAGTTTTCATTTCCATTCAGTACGTGCAGTAGAATCATCCAGGAAAAGGGCGCGAAGATATACACGTGACATTTGGCGCAAAATGATTGTGACACCCCTTACCTAGAAGACAAATGGACTCATCCAATAGTACAGAAATGCCGAAAAAAGGTCAAACGGACATGTCCGTATATGAAATCGCATGAAATAAACAGCTGCATGCAAAAAAACTTAAGGAAATAAACACATCAATATATTGTATCAGTAAGACGATTATTTTTTTCTGCTTAATATTTTGTTGAAACGGAGGTAACAAATTCCAGTGATAATCAGCATGCACAAAATTTTGCTGGCTAACTGTGACCTCTTCTCTTCGCACCTCGGAAATATCAATCCTTATACAGCCTGACGCCGTGACGTCAGGCAATTATAATTTTTAATCCCTGCGTGTGGAGCGCTAATTCATGACTACGCCAACAACTCCATATCTGGTGATTGCGCTAGATTTTGAATACGCTTATTTATGTACACGTACAGTACCTTCATCTCCGTAAGTGTTTTGAGGAGTTCCGCATCCCCTACCAACCGGTCACATCCGCCGTGTGCTCCTTGTTAGGATCGGAGAAATAACGGCAATTATCCGTCTTCAATTCAGTGTAAAAATAATGGACAAACAATTAGTACACTGTATGAAGAATTTCAGTCAGCATTTGACTCAATGATAATTTGTATTTGCTGACAAGGTCATTGTATCGACCAATAAACTTTCAAAGTGAAACCTTTAAACGAGACAGCTGTAATTCTTGCTTTATCAACCTTCTTGTCAAAAATTGTCATTGTTTTAAATACGTAAAGCATGCTCTTGCATATTAAATCAACTGAGAAATATAAACTCCGTATACAGGTGATGAAGGTACCGGTATAATGCTGCATAAGTCAGGGAAGATGACGATTGAAGTTAAATATTCAAATATGACACAGATGTGTCAGACGCTGTGGAATCTCAAGCTCACAAGGATATATTGTATCGACATAAGATTTGAAATTACCATTGCTAATTGACAATACCTCGTTGATATATCTAAATGTTAAGCTAAACGTTACAGCAAGTATGAAGAATATACACTTTGGGTTTAATTGTGACCTAAATATTCAATGTTCCTAAAAAGTTATAAAATTGGATTTAGCAAGAGTTGAGTGATGAATATGATAAATTATCATAGAGTACGGCATGATGGGGGACTATTTGTGAAATATGACGTCATCTTTTTGGTACATTTCTAAGCTTTTTGCAGAAAAGCCTCAAATGACTAATTTCTGTACTTATTTTAATTTTCTTTAGAAAATAGTGTCTTCCACTGTCGCCCACTTCACGTTTTTAATGTTTTATGTAAAATGCTTTGAAATATGATATATATCAAAATCTTTGTGGGCGAGAGTGGCAGAATATGTTTTCTGAAAGAAAATTCCACCGAAAATTGATGTCCTCTGCAACTTTTTAAGAAAATACGGGAAAATGCATGGTAATGACGTAACAATTTGCATTAAGGAGGTCATATGAGAAAAACCATTTATGTTTTCTTACTGCATGGAATTCCTATTATTCAGAAATAATGAAATTTGATTTCTTGGATCACTTTCATATTTTAGAAAAAAATCAATGGCGTTATTTGTATTTGAACTGTACCTCGTTCTTTATTTTTCTTTTCACGGATACGATTTTACACAAATTCTGCTTCATTTGAATACAAAAAGGGCTGCTTATAACGGGGTTCAATTGGGAACTTACAATAGATTGTTGGAAGACCTGGTCTCCAAGAATGTCAAAGATATTTTCACACAGAATCTCAAGCATTTTTTATGTCAACTTCAGAGTACTTGTATGTACAATCAGAATACAAGACAGCTTCTCTGCGTATTGACCAATTTTTAAAGTGCAGTATATTTTTGATTTCATAAACAATTGCTGAAAACAAATATCAGCAGTCTCGATTAAAGACATCATCGATCAGATACATTGACCTTATCGGGAAAAACGATTTATCGCGATTTAAAATGGTGCCTGGCGATTGATACTGCAAAGTGATTGTTTGGCCATTGTATACATATTAATTCTCGACGGATTTTTCTGGCATTTCCCGATTACGACAAGGAGCACAAGGCAGGTATGATCTGTCGGCAGGGTATGCCCACTCTTCCATTGCACCTCCCCTACCTCTGGTTTGTTCTTCTCCAATTTTGTATTGTTTTATGGACTTATGAGCTTGAATACTGTTCTTATCGTCATATAGTTTACTATTATATCATGCACATTTATAAGTATACAAAATATTCATATCTTTTTTTCTTGTGACAGTTTCAGGTTGCTATGAACTCATAGAAAACAAGCAGAGGAAACCCAACGCTGGAGGAGCTGAGACAACTGCAGTGTGGTATAATTTTTTATCTTTTGAAATGTTTTTTTTCAAAGTCATTCAATATGCTTTGCATCAGAATTTTTCTATTCTCATGCTTTGACACAATTTTCAGGATTGGTGTCTCGTGTGGAACCTTTATATTTGGCTTAATAATGACAGTATTGGTGCAAACGTTGTGTAGAAGACTAAAAGGTGACTTTATTTTGTGTATTTGTTGCTTAACCACCAAGTATTCTTGGGAAAAGGGGATTCAAGTTTGATCAAATGAAGAACCTGATCCTCCTTCAAGGGGAGATAATCAGGAATAAGCAACACAAGATAATGGCATGTTTGAAAAATCTTTTCAACAACTATTTGGCAAGGAAAAGTTAAAAATATATGGAAAGATCCTCAATCTTGTTCAAATTATAGCTCCGGGGTTAGGGTAACGGCACAACAAGGAATCAAGGTTTTTCAAAAGACATATATAGGAAAATTCTTTAAAACTCATCATTTTTAGGCAGCCAATCCGTAATTGGTCGAATTTATACGACAGCATCCTCAGGTATAGTTGATTCAAGTTTGTTCAAGCATGATCCCATGTGCGCCACAATAGGGATGAAAGGTTTTACATACAAATTAATACATGTAGGGAAAAACACTTTTTTAAAGAACAGAAAAATCATGATAAGTCAGATTGATTTTGAAACATCACCAAGTAGTGTAAAATCAAATTGGTTCAAATGATGTCCCGGAGGGTAGGACTAGGTCACAATTGGGGTCCACGTTTTGTAACTAAATGAATAAATAAATAGGAAAACATCTGCTCAAGATGCTTTTTTCATACAGAGCTGATTTTTGCTTTTTTTAGCCAATGTGCTCAGTTAGCGATATGGTACAAAGGTTTCTTGTTACCTTAATATTTTGCATACGCTGTGTTTATCTATTAAGAGTCAAAATCAGCAAGCATCGAGCATTTAGTTAAAAAATGTGGAAAGTGGCATAGAAACAGATTTGGTTTAAACTCATATATAAATTTTCAGAACAAAGGGTATGATAGAAAAAAGCAAGCCAAAAATAATTTTTCGCATTGTTGCTATGGAAACCACGCGCCTTTCAAATAGCGTGTTTTGTACGTTATCATGACACTTGAATTTATGGTTAAACAAATATTTTTTATTACTAGTCATTAATAAAAGCTTTTTAAATTATTATTCTATTTATCTAAAAATACTCAATTTTAACAACTGATGATTATTGAAATTCTCTTCACCTTTTGATAAATAAAACTAGTTTTTGGAGGTTTATTTTGATTTAAAAAAAAACAGCAAATTTGCAGTACTCTATAAGAAATCTACAACCACATTAAAGCTTATCAACATAAAATATATATTAAACAATATTTGTCCTACAAGAATCAAGAAAAAAATCTGCAGGCAACTAAAGCATTTATATATGATAACTGATTTAAATCCATAATTTTTCTGTCTTTTTTGCTTCAAATTACCTCCCTTTGGTATAGCTCTCTAACATAGGAGGAATAAACGGTAGTTTGCTTACCTTGTTTTCAATAACAATGTACAGAAGACTAGAAGAAAATTACAAACTTGGAGCAGTCTGAGCCTCAGTTTTGGCGTTTTCATGAGTCTTAATTACGGTTAGTGACTGAATTTTTTACAATTTACCATTACAACAGTTTCTGAAGAATGCATAACAAAAATTAAACATGCAGGAAAATATGTAACACTTGGCAAGTGTTTTTTTTTTGCACATTTCAATTTAATATTCTGATTGATTATATATGTTAGCATTACTTTAGTATTTTATAACTAAAAAGAAAAGATTAATGCATGGCCTGAGGAACCAAGAGAAGGGGGTATGCCCCCTCTCCCCGATAATATTGCCGATATTAAACTATAATATGATAAAATGAAATTAAATTCCCCGACTTTGATTGTTTATGCGGGCCGAACGTGAAAAAGTTGGTCATGATCAGTTACATAACTGTATCCCAAATTATAAAGTTTAATTTGAATTTAGTTTAATTTTGATTTGTTTTATTCACAGCATGTGTGTAACCAAGTCAAGGTTTTTGCTGATGTCATCCAGTGTTTACTTATGAAAGAAAATTCATATTCAGCTAACATTTTCACCGGTACCACTGAACTAATTTAAGTCAACTAGGTTCAAATAATAAGCATCATTAGAATTACAGCACATAAATTTTTGAAAAGAATTTCTATACTTAATTTTTTCTTTGGGGGGGGGGGGGTATTGGAAAGAAAAGAAAACCACAATTTAGAGTTTTGACAACCAATTGACCTTTTTATTACAAGTTTATGAATTTAAAGAATATCTAAAATCAATACCGTCTCAACTTTGTGTTGTATATTTCTGTTTTTAGAATGAAATTCGCCATTTTGAAGCCAAACTCGGAAAGAAGCAGAAACAGAATTGGATGAGCTGATATAGAATTAGACAGGAAAAACGTGTAAATAATACATCTAGTAAAAACGTTAACTTTTTAAAATAAAATGATAAACTAAACCATTGAGATCTCTTGGAATTTAATTGATTCCAATAAACATGCTTTGCATTCGTCATCATTGCTCTAGCTCAACTAGAAATGGTTCTTAGTATTAGTATCTGAAGGCAAAGCTGTATAATATTATTACAATTTAATTTCATCACTTTTTCAGATTTTCGTTATGAGAATACATCATTACAGTACAGACCATTGATGCTGGAAGTGAGTGGATAGTGTTACCGGAGACTCAGGGATCCAGAAAATAGATCCATAAATTGTACAGTGTATTCATGAAAGTGGATCAAATAAAAATGTTCAATCCAAAAGTAACATTCTTTGTCTGTTAGCATTTTTTTATTGATGTAAATCTAACAAGCTAATTCAGAGAATTTGTGTCCCCCGCTTAGGGAAAAAGTAAACCATGCGCAGTTCGGGGCGGGGTGGGGGTGGGGGGTGGGGGTCGGATCCCCCTAATTGAATTTGTAGAATTTTTAAATGTATACATGTATACTGAAGCAAATAAAATATGTCAATATTGATATAATGATTTGATTATGTGTATAGAAGATTCTTTTTATGTGGATTATTTATCACAACGTAATGATTATTTTATGAGTTTGTACAAGCTAGACCTCATAATTTTTTTTTCATTTCACATGCTGAATACTATCATTTAGTAAAAAAGAATTTCGCATGTGAAGCGGGAGACATACCACTGCGCCACGGAACTGCTGTAAAATTTTGACAATTATATGCAAATATGAAGTCACATACATGTATATATTCACGTTTGATATCGTCAAAAATTTACACAAAACATGGTGTCTAATTCAACCTTTATTAACCAGTTCTGGTAGATGTGATAGGAATATAAATTCTGCCGTGAACCTGTTTTATACGCAATAACTCTCCTCATGCCCCTGTGCTAAAAATAGCGACATGTAATACTATAAATACTAATAAAACAAACGAGGCGGGACACTTTGAGAGAGGTCCTAGGAAGTTTTGGTATAAAATACATTGCATAAGCTCAAAATCTTCTTGAAATATCGCCCGGAAATGATAGTGTTACACACAGAGAGAATGTATAAATTTACGACCTTTAACTTTGACCTTTTGACCTCAAAATCAATAGGGGTCTTCATAATGTCACGGAAAGTTGTTATGTAAAATTTCATTGCAATAGCTCAAATGGTTCTAGAGATACTGTGTGGAAAGGAAAGTGTTATACAGTGCAAGGAACTAATTTTGTTACATAAACCAGCATCAGGATCAGCATAAGTAGGATCAGGATAGAACTAGCATCAGCATCAGCATTTAAAAAAACAGCATTACTTGGATCAGCATCAGCAAGCAAAGGATAGAACTAGCATTGACCAAAGTGAAAACAGATAAAGGAAAGTCATTTAATACAAATTACAAATAATGGCTTAAAATAGCGATGCTGTTTTTGAATTATCCACTTCCGGCAGGATAATCCTACGTCCGGTAGCATTGCTAGCATTGACCTAGTTTCAAACCAGCATCAGGATAAGGATCAAACCAGGATCAGGATAAGGATAACTAGCATCAAAATCAGCAAGCAAAGGAAGCATCAAAATCAGCAAGCATAGGAAGCACCAAAATCAGCATTGATGCTGTAACAAAATTATTTCCCTGCACTGTAACAGACAGAATTTGTTTATTTATGACCTTGACCTTTGACTTTTTGACCACAAAATCAATAGGGTTCTTCTTTAGTCCATAGGGAGTAACTGTTGCTATGCTAAATTTCATTGCAAAAGCTCAGAGGGTTCTCGAGATATCGTGTGCAAACGAAAGCGTTCCAGACAGACAGAAAGACGGCTAGACGGAAGGACAAACGGACAAACTCGGGAGGGGGTGTGTGTGGTTAAACATTAGGGTACGTTGAGAAAAAAGTTGGGTGGGGGATGTCATCCCCCCTACCCAACCCAAACCTGATGCTACATGCCTGATTGACATGGTTTTACTTTATAATTATGTGAGCTGTCATAGTGACTCTCTTTCATAAACAAGAATTATTGTGAGCAAGCTAATAAAATGATACCAACCCTCCTGCTATTGCATTAAATGTTTTTTATTACAAAAAAGGTCTAAATACTAATTTGAAACCTTTTAAAATTTTACTTGTGCAGATATACATGTACTTACCAAAAATGACTATGACAAATACTCAAGTCATAGGTAGTAAAACCGATGTGTTGAGCACAAACTTCCAATTTCCATTCATTCGAAGTTAAATATGTAAATGTGCCAAACTCATATAGTACACTTTTACTGCAGTGACCTTGAAAAAGCTATGTCCTTGAGTCAAGGGCAAACATGTTCAAATGAATTTTGGTCAAGGTAATGACAAACCTACAGCTTAAAAATAATTCCCAAGATGAAACCAAGTCTTTTCATTAGAATGTTACAGAATGGGCAAAGGTTGCACTTTTCTTCTACCAATGACCTTGAACTTGTTCAAATGACCTTGAGTCAAGTTTTTGACACATCTCTCGATCGCAAGCAATCTTAATATCAAGTATGAACTTTCAGTGGCACTTCATTGAAATGTTATGGACAAGTCAAAATTTTACATACATATGGATCGGTGAACAAGTTGATTCCTACCCACCCCCCCCCCCCCTTTTCCAAGTTTCGTTTGTGAGGAATATAAAATTCCTTTTGAAATTGAATGTGCATTTATTTATTAACAATAGTAAAGTAATGAGTATGCTTTGATCAGAACCAATATGGCCAATATAATGGACACTGAACATGTATTCAAATTACCCCCACCCCTTCAAAAAAGCTTATAAATGCCAGATTTTCACTCATTTTAACCATTTGTAACTTTTTTCTGCTAAATTTGCCTGCAAATTTTATTGTATAGATATGACATATAGATAACCCCTAACAAGATCATACCATTCATTTTTCCAGCAGTGGTTGTAGATTTTGTAAATAAAGTGATAAACATATGTAATTTTTTTCAAAATTAATAAGCATCGACGCCATGTTCTTTTGCCGTTGTCATGGCAACAATATGACTACAGAAATTTTGTTTTTCCTATTTTTGGATAATAAAATAATTCCATCTTAAAACAAATAAAGTAACCAAAATACCTTATCTTATCACGTTCAGAAAACATATTCGTAGAAAAATGTCTAAAAATCATTGATTTTCATGAGGATTTATGAACCCGTTGCTAAGGAAAAGAATTTCCTTGGATACCAGTCCCTTCATACGTTCGAAAAAAATTTTAATTGTGTTTTAGCATTAGGTAGGACAAAATCTTTCATATACCAAAAGCTTTTGAAAAAATAAAATTTTGACTTTCCATTCAATGCTCGATGCTTGCTGATTTTGACTCTTAAGTCGATTATGAACTGATGTTAATGCAAATTCAAGTCCTAGAGGGCGCACCATGGGATAAGCTTTATATTGTGTGATTAACAAGCCACCTATAACTTGCAAAACTAAAAACAATTAATACATTTCAGATTATAAAAAAAGAAAAGGGAAAATTACTGTAAGTATGCAACAAGTGTTTAAGACCATAATTTAGGACTTTTGACTATTAATGAACGTCCATCATTCAGACATATACGAATATGAGTTGAGGCCTGTCGCTTACTTATACTTACTTTCTAAATGTAATTTGTTCTTTAAATTAAGTATGAATTTTTTAATTGATATTTAGACTGATTGACTCCCACCATCCCTTAAAAAAGAAACATTTGACCAATTCCCTTCACCCACCCATCCCAATAAATAAATTTCGTCGTTTTTTTGTCCAACATTACACTTACTTTATATTAAAAATAATCATTACATTTTGCAGGAAAATCAGAATGAAAATGACAATTCCAAGGCATTATTATGTGATATCAACGAGGAAACTGATATTTCTCTCACGAGATATGACGGTAAAAAATCTTATAACATCAAGTTGAAATATTTTCAATTTTGTATGACAGTATTCAAAATCGTATAATAGTAACTTTTAGCATCCCTTTGTCAAAATTTTCTAATGGGTCTAAGGATTAATTTTTTATGAGAGAAATGTTAAAGTTTTTTTAATTTTATTTTTCTTACTTCAAATCTATTGCGTAAATGTCTTTAAAATAAGTAGTATTTTATTATTAGATAATCACCAATGACATATTTTACAGCTTCAGGATTCGATAAAGAGGGCTTTGATAAAGTTATCAAAGACTTTCATTTAACGAGCGTTGAGGAATTATTTAAACAACACCATATTGACTGTGTTGTTACCTTTCTTGGTTTGGATAATGACAAACTGCAGAGCCTTGGGTTAGATATAGGCCAGCAGGAAAAATGTAAAAACGCTATTCGAAGAATACAGTGTGCTTCCAACAACAAAATGAGACGCCACAAGGGAGACAGTCAGACCAGCATGTCCATTAGTGAAAGATCCGAGTCCAGAGACCAATTTCCGTCAGCACAATCTGTGCCTACATCTACAGAGAAAAAGAAAAGGCCTCCTCATAAAAGAACATTATCTTATCCTACCTGAAACGTTTACACTGATTAAATAAACAAATAAAATTAAAACTGAAATATAATTATATGGTTTCTTTACATTTCGAGTATTTATTATTTTAGTAAAACAAAACACCATTTCTTTTCATGAAGTTTATAAAAAATTCCTTTTGAAAGTTTAACTTTGCCACATTAACATTTTCTAGTAGTATTTGTCTTTAAAGGAGAAGTTCTGATCTCATTAGAAAAAGTATAATTTTGCAATAGCCAATACTGTTTATGAGAGGCTACATAGACAAGCAATCAAGTGTCAATATTCACTAATATAAGTTCAGTAACTCCTATGAAAAATATTTCCAGATAATTTATATTAAGGTCAGGCGATTCGATGCCCGAATATCTGTTTTGTGTAGTTTTGCAATGTATTAAAATTATTCAAAGTTTTAGGTACATTCCGATTTTAAAACCAGTTTCTAATTGTTTAAAAAAAATGAAACGCCTAAATTTATTTAAGAAAAATAAGTGTTTTCCCAAAAGGAGTATGGAAGGAACACTACCTTCTGATATCTTGCACAAATGTCTGGTGACGTACCTCAAAAATAGTGGGAATCGTTTTATAGAAGCAATACTTCATTGACAAAATATTGGGAAAAAATATATAACATATATTAAGAATGTATCATCTCTCCTTAATTATTTGAATTAGTTTTCAAAATGAATAAGAATGTTGAATGTTTTAGCAGGAAATTTGTATTTAAGGGGAGACAGTGCACATGTCACATGACTATAAAGTCATATTACGTCATTATCGGTGATGATATACATGTTAAACCTTGTTAAAATTAACAGTTCTTGTGTAATTTTATTCTTAATTCTAATCTTTAGATATTGTAAAGTTGCCAAATCCACACAATTGTTTCTCTTTACCCTCAGTCTGACGTCAGTGACGTCATAGACGTAGTGTTTGAATTCTCAGTGCAGCAAGATCAAGTACACACAGTCGTCCGCGTTGCGCAGTGGTTAGAGCGTCTGCTCTAGAATCGCAAAATAAGGAATCAATCCTTAGGTAGCGAGTTCGAATCCCACAGTGGGGCGTGTAGACCGGTCCTTCGGATGAGACCGTTTAAACCGTGGTCCCATGTTGCAGAAGGTGCTGGCACCAAAAAGATCCCTCTCTGGTCAATGGCCCTGAGTGCCGAGCATAGGACAAAATTTGCAGCTCTCCACCGGCAAGTGGTGGCGTCTCCGTATGAGTGAAAATTCTCGAGAGGGACGTTAAACAATATACAATCAATTAATCAAGTACACATACCCGTCATGATCAGTTTTATTTCATAATAAACAGGTCACAGCTAATGTATCAAGATAAATTTCTGTATTTTTTAAATTAATACTTTTTCATGTTAAGTAGCAAAGATTCTCTATATCTAGATAATTTTGAACGTTTATGTTTCTGTGTGACGTCACAATTGATTTCCCGCACTTGGAAAATACAATTGTGTAGCAGTTTTATAATTCTTACCTCTAATTCAACGATGTCTTGTGCGATATTGAGGTAAGCTTCACCCTGTGATATTCATGCAGATAATAATTACGATGAAGGACTGACATTCAATCATAAATTTAGAAATATTTATCGACAGAATTTTTTTTACAAATAACTATATACTATATAAAATTAAAACAATTGCTTTCCGATAATTTAATTCGCATTGTAGACTCCGTTATGTGCCCGTAAACATGAAGTATCTAAACTCTATACAAACTCTAATCAGGGCCGTATTTGCGGGTCGATATCTTTTAAATAAGTCAAGAAATCCCATGACAAGACCGTTTTTTTTTTTTGTTAAGTACATATTGAATTAGTAATATAAAAAAATACAAAAAAAAAAAAATCATTGACAGGAATTTTTTTCAGCGAAAGGTCCTGTTCCTCCTTTACATGCATTTCATTCAAGCATTTCCCTTGACCTTCCTTTGCGTTACGATTCTGGGATTTTTATTGAGGCTATTAGATGGATACGTTGAAAATGATATATCTAAAAACAGCTAATTGAGACAGAAGACATTGATAAAAGGGGGCAAACTCCACATTCGTGCCTCATATACATGTATTTGCTAATTAAAAGTATTGTGACTTGATTTTTAGCCAAAAATGGTTAATACATGAAACATACCGACTTTCATGTCTTAAGTGTCTCACACACACTAGTAATAGTAATTGCTTAAGCCTTTTTATCTGTATTTTTTATTTAAACGGACTGTCGCTGTATAGGAAAGTGCCTTTATTGCACTTTTAAGCAAGTTTTTCAAATTGTTCAATATACGTTTTACCAATTGTATTATGAGTAGTACTGTATTGTTAATTATGTATACGAAACACAAAATTTTAATTTTGATTTGTAGGGGGCATCTCAAAATGTCAATATCAGTTTATTTTTTTCTGTTTATACGGAGTATTACAAAATATAACAGATGAATAACTTTATATACCCGGTAAATGTATATGAATAATTGATAGAATGTTTTTATTTTCAGGGACTTATCTTATCTTGACGTTTTCATAACCTATTCTGTAAGGTTTTTTTTTTATTTTATCATGAGGTCAAATTCACACACTTTTAATCGACCTCAAAGTTTTTAAAAAAAAATTCTAAGAATTACCTACATAATTTTTTAAAAAATGTTTTTAGCTTGTAATTTATTCTTTTTATCTTTTATTAATAATGTTAAAAACGCTTTAAAACAGTAAATATTTTTCATTTTACTGTGATGTGCGAAGCATTGCGCAATGATATTCCCCTGTCGCCCACCTTAATTGTCTTTTTCTCACATGGGAGAAAAATGTCCGATGGGTTATTTTCTCCTAAGTTTTTTTCCCATCAATGTGTTCAAATGGAATAGATCTCATGGATATTGACAATGGATTATTCTCTCCAATACAATGTTATAGTTGGTATACATGTAATTCCTACAACTGTATAATAATGACAAAATTGTCATTGTCATACTGTATTGCATATATTTCATGTTTCACAATGTATGGGAGAAATTGTTTGAATGTAAATATCTGTGGTATATGTGTATTTATCCCATTTGAACAAATTTGTGGGTGGAAATTTCCCATCTTACATTTTTTTTCTTACATGGGGGAATGGAGGAACTGTTTGAAAATTGAAAATCTCACCATTCTCCCATGGGGTTCTGATATTTTGGACTTCCTATCATTAGAAGTTGAGATGTTTGTGAACTCAACATAAGACTCTTGGATACTGCTATGAAATCCCAAGTTTTACCAAAATAGGTCAAATTGTCCCCCGCTTGAAAAGTGGGGGATATTAATTTGGGTTTGTCCGTCCGTCCGTCCGTCCGTCCGTCCGTCCGTGTTTACGAGAGTGCATTTATTGGGTATTTTTCATGCCAAGATTGTACTTATTGGGTACTTTTTGCTTATTGGGTATACCCAATAAGAAGTGTCGCTGAATATGTTTAAAACACCCTAATTGGGTATTTGCAAGTTAGTACCCAACAAAACTTGGACACGACGATTTGTCCAAAAAAGTGTCCAAAAAAGTTGCTTTCACGGACGCACCGTGTTTTGTTGTTTCAGTTTTACATTCGGAACTCTAAATTCTCGAGAGTTCCGAAAATCAACTTCCGTTGATCCTGATCATAACAACGTTTGTTTTCATGGGAAAAAATATGGCGACTAAGAAACACTTAATGTCAACAAGATTTCCTGATTGACAAGAGAAAAGGTAAGTTTATTCGATTAATATCTATCCATTGCTGGGTTCTTGTTTAAGGAAAATAGATTTTAATGTAATTTTGAAAACAATTGTGCACAAAATTAAAATAGATATATCGGAACAATTAATCCTAAGTTGCACTTGTTTGTATTTTGAATTTTCTCCGTCTTTTTAACTCTCTTGAGGGCGAGAAGTATTTAGTAAATGATCGTATATTGTTAGATAATCTTTAATAAATCGAAAGTGTTTATTATTTAATTTTATATCATAACCAACTAAGTATATTCTGACAATGTATATTGGAAAGGGAAATGAAAATGTTAACAATCGTGTGTTCATAAATCAGCTGTAAATTATCGGTTCATGTACACAGTATATCACAATCGCAAAGTGAGCTGAGATGATGATAAATGGGATAATTGACAACAACTAAATAATTTTATGTAAGTTTATCTCATCTGATATGTAACTTAAGAGATTCATTGTATTACTGAAAAACTTTCAGTCAAAACAGTGCTTCTTTCGAATTCTGTCTTAGATTTTGACTCAAATGAAAAAAGTGCTAAATCTAAAGCAAACTAGCATGGCGCGGCGCCATGCCCTTTTTTCTCGGAGCCATGCCCTTTTTTCCAGCGCCATGTCCTTATTTCCTAACCCAAAATTAATAAATATGCCCAGTTTAGGCAATATTCCTTTGCTGTTCTGTTTATTCAGTGCATGCTGATATTCAAAAGTGCCCTTTTGATTCCTTGATTAATTTACCATGCCCTTTTTAGGGTCTAGATTTAACACTAAATAATTTATTTTTTATTTATTTAAAAAAATGAGTGTCTGCTTTATTTTGATTTTTTTTTTTAATTATTGTTTTTGTCTTTTGTTTTAATTGATTTAAAACAATACTGAAATTGATATAGGGCTACTATAACTATTTCACATGATGGGTGTGTAATTAGCATCGCGCTACACCCGGGGCTTCCATTTTTGAGGATGGGGCTAGTGGTTTTCTGCACTGAGGAATCCCCTTGGGCTATTAGGAATTTTAAAATACACATGTAATACACGAAAAGCACTTCCGGTATTTTCACTCTTTTTTGCTATTAAATTCCCTAATATGGAAATATTCCAGACAGCATGCTCATATTATCCATAAATCTCCACAACTGCATCCATTTTGCAGTACTACAAGGCTGATTTACTTAAAAACGATCTTTTGTTTCCTAATTTGAATTCCCCCTTTCCTTTGTTTAATATAGCAATATTTGCTTGTACATATATGCCTCACAGATATCTCATTATTAAATTATATACATTCACTCAATCAGCTCAATGATAAGTGTCATGCAATTATGTAGCGTTTTTTTAAAGCCATATATGATCAAAAAATATATTTTTGAAAAATACAAAATTAAGTAAAGAAATATAATTAATACATTTAAATTAAAGCTTTTCATACAATTCGGAGCATGAAGAACACCTCGTTTTATCTAATAATACGATTTTATCTTCTCTGTAATGTGTTATTTAAATCTTTTGTATTTTCTTCCAAGTCGGAGAAAATTCCGAGAATCCAAATTAAATTTTGATATCTTTATAACACAAATGACTTAGATTTTGTAATTTACAGAAAATTTCTATCTTTATCTTGTTTATATAAACTAATGATACAAATAATAAGTTCTTATAATTTTAGTCTAATAATTTTCATTGCATACGCCATATATGGCTTTAAATGATTCAAGATGCATATGAAAACAAAATGATTTTTGCTTCGTTTTAATTAGACGAACTAGTGAATGACCAGAAGAGGAGTATTTAATATCTTTTTTTCATTTTTTTAAA